CAATTCCAAATTACAAATTCATAAATACAAGTTGTATTTTTCAAATCCAGGCAATACGAACATAAAAACAAAGCACTCAAACTTATTATCTAATTGATAAGTCTTAGGTTATTAGTTTACTTTCATTCATATCTAAAAGTAAAATATTTTATAATATTGAATTTACAAGTATGATATGTGTTTAGAAAATGCATAGAATAAGGCCATTGGAGTATTTGTTTCACGCATACATAAAGCATTCCGCATTCAAGGGTCACATTTATCATTTTACCAATAACTCAAACAAACAACATAGACACGATGATTAATTATGGCATTAAAGTTTGAGAAAACGGATCAAAACCAGCCATAGTTTTCTCCTGATGACCATTGTGAATCATTCATTTATTTTAAGGATACAACAACAACAACAAATTATAAGCTGTAGTTGGCGAATAATAAATTGTTAGTTACATATATTTCTAGTGCTTACAAGCATAAAATGCACCCGATTTCAAGATCTATTTGTCTATTTGATACCTCATATATGTATTTGCAATTTAGGTATTTTATTAGTAAATGTTACATAAATATTCGTAGAAGGAAATTTATTACAAACGAATAATGAAGCAGTTATATATGACGCAATATCCATGCATCATTAATTGTTGTTTGTATATTTCAGTTTTTGAGTTGCTTTGATTTAGTAACCAATCCAGTAAAATATGACACCTATTGACCTGAAGATATTTCTTCAGATTCAGGGAACAAATCGTTAACATATTGCAATTAATTCTTATTCTTCTTAATAACGCAAATGCTAGTACGTAGTTACCAGTTTCACCACCAGGTGGCTCGATCGGGTCAGATAGCATGACGGGTATAGTAGAAAGTTCAACCTAAATTACATCTGTTATATTCGTTCAGTTTTATATAACCTTTATGTATCAAATAGATATGCGCATTAAAATATGTCCAGTAAAATAAAATGATATCTGTCCAATATAAGACATTTCACTTTTTGTGATTTTGTAATATTTTGCAATTTAAAAGGTATACACATCTATGTTTGAGCGAGACCATAGATTGCTGACAAAATGGCGCTATACTGCAGACATCATCGGACAAAATGGGACAAGGTGGACATTGTCCCATGATGTCCAATGATGATCGGGGGACAAAAGCGGACAAGTTGGGACAAAACGGACAATGTCCCATTGGTGCATGGCTAGTTAAGTACCCATCGAACAAGATCAAAACAAAATAATAAATCTTCCGTGCATAGTCTAACATACATATTTTTTTATTTATTTACTAAGAAGAGAGAGTACATTCAAGTGCGTCTGGATTATGAACTCTTTGATAAAGTCAAAAGCAATTCAAATTTTTCAATAGTCCTTTATGCGTGCTTTACTTTTATACAGGTAATATGCAATTAAACTTCAAATGTTAACGACATTGTTGTCTCATCAAATTATTTACTTTTTACTTTTCAGGTCAAGTAAAAGTGAAGAATTTGTATTGGTGCGGTAAATATCGATTTTATTTTAAAAGATATAATTTGTAGCAAACAACAAACATGTTAAAAAGTAATGTGCCTTCAAAGATTCCCGACTCACACAATTTTTAACAACATCACTTTTTGAACAGTTTTAATCAAATCAAAATGTTTTTGGTTTCCCGTAAAGTTTTGTCGATTTCGCTGTAGATTTAAAGTAATTTGTCGGCACTTGACCACACTTGAAATAGGACAGGAAGATATTGCGACAGCCTTCCACCCATTTGCCATTTCCCTTTTTATTGTCCAAATTGAGCAATAAGGAGTCACCCTTGTCAAAAGTGAGATCACCACTTTGAAGTGCGTTCTTCATTGTAGCTATAGCCTCATAGTAATGCCATTCTGTATCCTACAAAACATAACAATGCCAAACTGATTCCTACAAAATATAATAATGCCATTCGGAATCCTAAAAAAACATAATAATGCCAAACGGAATCCCAAAATTTGATAGGACCACCCACCCTTTAACACCTGGATTGTATTAACTGTAGTCACATGAAATAAATTAATTAATCACTCAATTTAATATTATCCTGCTAATTAATATATTCTTACCTTTGACGCGGACGACTTGTCTCTTTTGATCATAGGCTGGTCTGGCTCCAAACTATACATTTAATTTAAAACTAAAAATACAGCTTGATTCGTAAGATAGTTACATACTATTTCGTGAAGTTCATCAGTATGGGTTCAAATCGGTCTTGCACCATGTATGCACATAGACTTGAGAAGCTACGGAGAGAGTTAGGAACAAAGTGGGGGTGGCATCGCATTGGCATTTTATCTTACATATTCTTACCGGTATTTCGGTAACGGTACGGTTATTAGCGTGACGGTTACCGTCACCAATCACCGTCAACCAATTTTAAAATGGAATACGAGAACAAGATTTCTTATTTTAAGTTATATTCATATGTCTAATAATAATTGATATTAAACATATTTACTTTTATTGTTTGTAAGTGACTAAACAGATTTGTTTTAAGTTTTAACATAACAAACAACTACCCATATTGAAGGAATCCCTGAAGGTACAGCATTTCAGAAATGTGTAAATTGTTTATATTTCATTATTTTGCGAATTACTAAAAGGAGTTATTCGCGTACCTTGTTAACCATGAGTCAATGAATGCATCATATAATATCTGCAAAATGATGCACTATGCAATTCATACATACATGGAATAATATATTTTGCCATATCGGAATCAAGAATTATCTTTAATCCATTGGATAGATCTTGCATTACCTGATGTTGATGTATTGATAATAGAATCAGTTAGTCAATATTGTGAGACGCCATTTGTCCGATAAAGTAAGAAATCTTAATTATGTATTAGGCAGGGCATAACATTTCACCTATCATTTATTTGTGTTTACTACATTCCTTTCACTAGTTAGTATTACCTTCCCTTTTAAAGCTGTGTGAGATACCCTAGGCCTTGAACTGTGGTGCTCATGCAAGATATATGAAAAAATTATCATACTCCAAAGTTTCAATGTCATTTAAGCCTGATTTGGTACACATGTCAAAGCGTAACGTCAACTCTAAAGTAGTTTAATTCAATGAAAACTAAAAAATATCAGAAATCAACAATTACCGTGCGCCATCTTGAATGCAAAGGTTACGGCAGTTACCTTCGCTTGGTACTGATCAGTGTCCTTGCTCTGTTACAAATTCTCATTGCCCTCTGTTTGTAACCCCTCCCTCCTTCTCGATTAAGGCCATGAATATGAAGATGATTTAGAGGTAAGATGAGAGATACTATTGAAGGTTTGTTCTATGATAAATGAGTTCATATAACTTAATCCAAGTCTGTTACTAGTATGCAATTCACACCAGCATGAGATAACATCATACTCAAAGGATGGAACAGTTCATTGCTTTTCAATTGCATAAAATGGCTAAATGATACCCTGTCAAATGTAGTAATCAAAATTATCTCATAGCTCTTGATCAATGGAACCATTCATATTCTAGGTACAAGTCAATGAATACGACTTTGACAAAATAAAAAGACTACCTCTAGGACTTAGACTAAAAGTTAATTTGACCATTGATGACCTATGATAGGTAAAGATCATGATAACACTTATATAAAATATTTAAAGTATCTAATAATGATAATGAACACATTACAATGTTACACAATGTTAGTAGATGCTAATTAAATGTCAATTGTTGTTAGTATAATATGTATTTTTCATTTAATGCTGCAACAATTACACAAGTACCAAAAAGTGCCACGCCCACTTTTCCCTAAAACCAGTTTTATGTGACTGTATTTGATAAATATTATTCATTTATGGGATTTTTATATCAAGTTTTTAGTGCTTTAGTGTGAATACATAGTACTACATATTAATTCAACTTTTGACAAAGTAGCAGCCACAAAATCCAAACAGATTTGCACTTGAAATATTTCACTTAGAGAACTAAAGGACATATTTGGGACGGGGTCAAATTGAGAAGATTGGGAGATATAAATACTGTTTCCTTGGAAACCATATACGTCAGAGTTTGGAAATTTCTGGCACTGACTAACCATGGCATGCCCTACCCACTATAAAATAATGAATATCTGATATTCATTAGTATTCTTTTTATTGGGTGGTATTAAAGTACCCCAAGGTTTTGTTGAGGTAAGGGTATAAATTGGCCTGAGGGCCTTCTGCCACCCATACATAAAGTCCAACTACCCAGAAAGTGTCCAGCATAATCATACAGATTGTTTGAAATATGTTGGAATGTGTGACCTTCCATGAAAGGAAGGATGCATTTCTAAAGCACTTATACAGAATAGTCCAGTGCACAGTCTATAACCTGATATTTTAATGGGAGTTGCTAGCAACTTTAAAACTGGCCCTTAACTTGAATAAAACCGCTTGTTAATTGTACTTAGTTTAAGATTTTGTTAAACAATAATTCAATTCAAGATTTTTTATTTATTTAAAGTGAATTCAATTCTCTTTACAATGGTACAACAATCAAGGGGATCCAAGTTATAATATTTAAATGATTGGAAACATTCCATCGATGGTCAAATACTCAGTTGTTGAGTTTACTATTCAATTAGTTAGAATGGTAATGTTTTAAAGTAAAAGTTCATTCACTTTTCAGAATTTAAATAAGCAGAAAAAATAGTGATGGATTCAGAATTAAATTAGCTTTTAGATACAGTTCATCTCATAATCTTACTCATCCCTATAAGTATGTTTAATTAATTATTATAGCAGAGTAAAAATTCATCCAAAGTTAGTGAAACTGTACATCCATGTATTTTGACCTATACCAGAGCTAACATCTCACTTTGAATTAATTCCTCGCTGTATTGTTTTTCTCCGTAGCTGCTGATAAAACTTTGAGTTCTTAACATGCCTGCAAATTCCTAATGCTTTATTCCATGCTCTTTCTAATGATTGTCTCATAGAGATATAATTCTGATCTTTAATAGAAAAAATCATTTAGAGATTGATTGTCTAACAATCTTCTATCTTTCTCTAGATGGCGTGAAACATATGAAATTAATGGCCTGTTAACTAATTTGTTTATAAATAATACTAGATTACACCGATATATTGAGAGAAAGTTTAAACATGTAGAGTTCTAGTTCAACTTTATTGGCATGCCTTCAACTGGATGCCTGATGCCTCTGCTTGTAGCAGCAACATAGATGACATAGATGTTGTGATTAATGGCTTTTTAGTGTGACATGCACTTTTATAAATACTTTCAAATATTAAATATTGTTGGTACAACTGATTATTCGTACCCAATGTATACTACTTCTCAACACAGCACATACTGAGACTGTACTGATATGCCACCTTTAAAAAGGTTTAGTAACCACTGTATCACATGATCTAGGTCACATGATCATGTACTTTAGTGTTGGGCCTGCTTTTGAATCTTCTGGATGTGGTAAATATTTTTCCATACTTTGTCCAATTTCTAAACAAGTTATATTGTCTCAGTATATTATTCATATAGTTAGTTTTAAAGATTAATATATAATCTCTATGTTGAAATAGGTATTTTTTATATACCGTTTGTAATTTTGAAGTTATTAGGAGTTTAAGGAAAGACTCCAAGATATTTTGCAAATTTCAACATCAGCCATATTGGATTTCATCCCTTTGTTTACATTTTCACTTAGGTTCAAATGTACATTTTTAGGTTAGTTCCTAGCTGTCCTACTTTACCATATGCCCACACTCACAGCCCAAGTAGCTTTATTGTCAGGTAAAATTCCACTCTTGTTATTTGATTTATATTTGTAGTATGTGTAAGGTCAATACGACATTTTGTAAGGTCAACATGACCCTATTGACCATATTGAACAAGTCATGCTTCATGTGTTTTGATGTTTATATAATGCTTCAGGCATTGTGTGGGGAAATAAAGATTCATTCATATATTACTTAATCCCCATCACAAATATGGTTTTATCAACTAAAACATTAAACATTAATCTGCATTTTAATGACATTTCACTTTATTGCTACATATCAACTTATGGTGTGAATTTTATATTTTTAGGCATTCCACCAACAGTACTACACTGGCAGACTGGTCACTCTTTTGTAATGTTTTACATTTTATGAATTAAGGTAGTTCCACACTTTCATGGATTAAAGTAGTTCTACACTTTCATGGATTAAGGTAGTTGTCACTCTTTTGTAGGCTAATTTATATGTTAAGGTAGTTGTCACTCTTTTGTGATTTATCTTTTAAGGTAGTTGTACAACAACAGCAGTTGTGTTAAGGTAGTTGTGCAACATAGCAGTTGAACATTAAGGTAGTTGTGCAACATATACATGATCAATACATGATCAATAAGGAAGTTGACTGATATAATACATGATATAATATAAAATATTTTATAAATTTCTCTTGTTTATTTATTTTGGACAAAACGTCCCTCACAAATGGTACTGCGGGTATTCCTCACAAATGGTACTGCGGGTGCTCCTCACAAATGGTACTGCGGGTACTTCCTTTTGCAAATTTTACAACGGGTGTTCTTTACAATTATTTCCCTTTGTAAATTTTACCATGGATGTCCATTGGAAATAAATTTAAGGAATCCATGAATTTTATCTCATGACTTACTCCACTAGTAGCCCTAAGCCCATGATAAGGTAATTAGTAGTTTAGTCAGCTAGTACTTCATGCTTAGTTAGCAAGAGTGACCAGTTCCAGTGGACTAGTTGCCGCCTGATTACCCAGATGAGTTCCCGAAAAGGTTTGAGAGTTACATGTATGATAACAGAGCGCCATCTATAGGAAACATTAAGCAGTATAATAGAGCGCCATCTATATGAACATTGAATTATCACTATAATAGAGCGCCATCTATATGAACATTGAATTATCACTATAATAGAGCGCCATCTTTATGAACATTGAGCTATTACATAATTGAGCGCTTTCTTGAACATTGAGTGATACTATACCTAGTGCGCCATCTTTATGAACATTAAGCATTATCATTTACCTGGAACTCCATCTATAGAGACACTTGCATAGCAAATAACATTTTGAGTTGATGTGACTTACCTGTACTAAAACAGGGACAGTGAACAGTTGGTGTATACCTTTATCATAACGTGAAGGACTGTTTATATACAGAGCAACCACAACAATTAGTAATTGTAGGGATATAAACCCAAAGTATATATACAAAACACTTCAGATAGGTTATTCAATGAATATACATATTGATCACTGCAGAGTTGCTGAATACAATATTTTACATATGATACAAGGGTAGTGAACGTATTGCGTACATGTCATCTATATAGAGACATCTATTTTACATTTAATACGAGGTAACCAACTGATAACCAGTATATGTCAGTAATACTTGGTACTTTATATTAATTACTTCATGTGTAGCCTTCACTAGAAGAACTTTGTAAATATTTTCCACTACTTTGTCTTTTAAAAATTTGAATGTTTTTTTTACTTTGTCTTTTAAACATTCGGATATTATATTCGGCGCATGCGGAATCAGAGTGAATATTTTACGCGACTATTTTAAGTGACTATTTTACGTTAGTATTTCAAAATGGCTGAAGCACAAGATGGAGTAACACCAAGCGATATTAAAGCTGGAGCAGAACGTATAATAGATGAAATGGCTGAAACATTGCGCCAAGAGGACCCGACAAAGAAAAAAACAACTACAAAGGATCATAAATCTGAAGCTGAACGAGCGATAGATGATATGGCAGAAACCCTCGATAAAGAAGAGAGAGTAAAAAGAAGAGAACTTCTCAGAATGATAAATATGGAAAAAGAGTTGGCGATCCTCAAAAAGAAGTATTTGGATGAAGAAATACCAGATAGAAAAACTTTAGCTGACACTCAAAGCGCTAGTAGTACACCAGAAACTAGTTCAAAGAATACGCAGTATATATCGAAGAAACCAAAATTGAGTAAATTTATGGGAAACAAGGATGAGGATATCTATGACTGGATTGAGGATGCTACAATGGCCATACGAGATTTGAAAAACAACTCGGAGAAAGAAGACTTTGTTGTATATCATCTAGGTCCAAATCCTAGAAGAGAAGCGAGATACCTGACAAACCCAACACCTACTGAGATATTTAAAACACTACAACGAGTTTTCGGAATACACAAGTCTTCTCATAAATCAATGACAGAATTCTATACTAGAAAGCAGCATCCAAATGAGACAATAGCTCAATATACCCAAGCCTTTATGAAGTTAATGGATATTGTGAAACAAAATCAAGATGAAAAGGTTGATGAAGACAAGCTGTTAAAAGAGCAACTAATAGAAGGTGTATGCTGTCCTAAAATGAGATGGGAATTAAGAGGAATCTCGGACTATAACAGTTCAACTACATTCCACACATTGAGAGAAACAGCCTTTCAATACGAACTAAACGAAAAGCAGAGTGACTCCATGGAAACAAAAAAGACTACAGCAAACACAGTAGATAGTAACAACACACTACACAGTATGATGAGGACCTTACTAGAAAAACAAAACAAAATGGAGAATGAACTGAATGAAATAAAGGAAATGAAAAACAACCCACAACAGAATTTCAACAGTTATGGCAGAGGACAATTCAACAACCGTTTCAACAGAGGTCAAAACAACTACCGAGGAAGAGGAAGATCAAGAGGAAACAATTACTCCAGAAGACCATCAAACTACTACAACAGCAATGAACGATATGATAATCACAGTGTACAAGTAAATGACCCTAAAAACTCAGATAGCAAACCAAATGAAGTCATAACAAATGTCAATCTGACAACAGATACAACTTGTATATCTTGTCATCCAAACATGGAGAAAATTGTTGGTGAAACGCAGAAATGGGATATCAAAATTGGAGATATAGAAACTACAGGAATAATGGACTCTGGGAGCAGTGTTATGCTTATGTCAAAGGAATTTTATGAAAATCAATTTGTCAAAGAACTACAACCATTTCAACTTCTTGACCTCAAAGCAGCTAATAATCTCAAAATACCATACAAAGGTCTCCTCATAGAAGATATAATAATACAAGATATCACCATAAAGGACTGTGGAATTCTAGTACACGAAGAATCCGGATCATATCCAGATCTGTTAATAGGAATGAATGTCTTGAAACATTTGCCAACGTTTCAATCCACACCAAATGACACAGAAGAAAGAACACATCTTATACGTGTGAAAGGACAGGTGTTTATCCCAGCCTCAACAACTGTTGATGTAGATGTTTCTACGGGTTCTTTTAGAGGACAAGGTTTAGTCGAACCATTGGATAGAGTCTTACCTGGAAATGTCCAAGTTATGAATGGATACATAGATGCAACATCTGGAAGTGCTACAATACGTGTCTTAAATGCTTCGGAAACGAGTGTAATACTTACCAAAAGAACTCCAATAGGACAATTACATTCTGCAACAGTAAACTGTTGTAAAGTTTCATACAGCATACAGGACAATACAGTAAAAATAGCTACAAACGAGAATTTGAAATCAAAACCAATTGAGAATGATGAAGAAGAGCCAACAGTCCCATAGCATGTTATCCAAGAAGTAAACAGACTGTTAGAATATTTCCCTGGAACAGAAGATGAACGCAAGAAGACTGCAAAGTTATTTTACAAATACCACAAAATCTTTGGAACAGACGAAAATGATTTGGGGTATACTGATGCAATTGAACACAAAATACCTACACCAGACGATTTTGCTGTGAATGAACCTTTCCGTAGAGTGCCTCCTGCAGTTTTTCAAGAACTTCGAGACGTATTGACACACTAATACAGAAAAAGATCATTCGCCCAAGTAGTAGAAACTTCGCTAGCCCTATTGTTCTCGTCAGAAAGAAAAATAAATCACTTAGACTATGCGTGGATTACAGACAGCTGAATCACAACACAAAGAAGGATGTCTTCCCACTCCCTCGTATACAGGAAAGTATGGATGCACTGCTGAATGCAAAGTGGTTCTGCTCATTGGATCTTCAAAGCGCTTATCATCAGGTTAAGGTAGCTCAAGAGGATATTCACAAAACATCTTTTACCACACCTTTTGGCACTTTTGAGTACTTACGCATGCCATTCGGCCTCTGCAACGCACCTGCGACTTACCAAAGATTAATGACCATGGCATTTAAAGATGAGATTTTCAAAACCTTACTCGTCTATCTCGATGATTTATTAGTATACTCTTCTACCATCGAAGAAATGATTCATAGGCTAGAGAATGTCTTTTCAATTTTACACAGCTACAACTTGAAGCTTGAATTGAAAAAGTGTTACTTCTTTAAAGAGACTGTAACATACCTTGGTCACCAGATATCGAAAGAAGGAATAAAGCCTGATCCTGAAAAGATTAAGGTGATAGTGAACTGGAAACAGCCGAAGACCCTGAAGGATCTCAGAAGATTTCTTGGATTGGCAGGATACCACAGACGTTTTGTGAAGAACTATGCAGCTACTGCCCAACCATTACATAACCTTGTTACAAAAGTCACAAAAAGAACAAAAAAGAAGACCGAGAATATTGAAAAGCTATGGACAGAAGATTGTACACAAGCACAAGCTACACTTAAAGACAAAATGTCTACAGCACCAGTCCTTGCTTTCGCAGACTACAACAAGCCTTTTGTATTAGAGATAGATGCGTCATCATCAGGACTCGGATGTGAACTTCTCCAAGAACAAGAAGGAAAGATGAGAGTCATTGGATATGGCAGCCGATCGCTGAGAGGAGGCGAGAAAAATATGAACAACTACTCTTCCAAAAAGTTGGAGCTGTTAGCACTTAAATGGTCTGTTACAGAAAAGTTCAGAGATTTTCTACTTGGATCAAAATTCACAATTTTCACAGACAATAACCCATTGACGTATATCATGCGAAAGAAGAAACTACCAGTATTAGAGCAACGTTGGGTGTCTGACTTAGCATGCTTCAACTTTGAGATAAAGTACAAGCCAGGAATAAAGAACACTGCAGCAGATGCACTCTCCAGACTAGAACACAGTTCAGAAGATGAAGATGAGGATGATGACTTCGAAGTCAGTGCTATGAGTGTTATCGCAGAGATCACAAACACAACACACCTTCCAGATCTGTCTACAGAAATTAACCAGAAGGAAGTAAATGTTCTGACAGTAGAAAGTGATATAACTCCAACAGAAACAACTGTCTTCCCAACTATTACGAAGGAAGGTCTAGCCACATTGCAAGACGATGATCAAGATATCAGTCTCATCAAAGAAATCATAAAACATAACATTATTCCAACACCTAAGATACTGAAGAAGATGACAAAACATCAAAGAAAATGGGAGAAACAAAGACATAAACTCCGACTAGTTGATAACATATTGTATAGGAAGGTGAAGTCAAATGATAAAGATGATCAAGTTGCTATTCCAACTGTTCTAAAAGAAGAAGTTCTAAAAGCGGGACATGACTTTGCAGGACACCAAGGTGTTGAAAGAACTGATAAACTGATTAGTGATAGATACTTTTGGCCAGGAATGAAACAAGACATATGTGAATATATCAAGACATGTAATCGATGTGTATTTGGCAAGATGCCCTTTCACAAAATCATTACTCCCATGGGACGATTATCTGCAAAATCACCACTAGACCTAGTCTGTATTGATTTTACACTTTTGGAAAAGCTACCAACGGAATGGAAAACGTTTTGATCATAACTGACGTCTTTACAAAGTTTACAATTGCCAAAGAAACTAAGGACCAAACAGCTGAAACAGTGTCAAAAGTTCTTGTAAAAGATCTGTTTTTAGTTTATGGTATTCCCAAACGACTACACAGCGACCAGGGAAGGAATTTTGAAAGCAAGATAGTAGACTGTTTGTGTAAAACATACAATGTTCAGAAGTCACGAACCACACCGTACCATCCCCAAGGAAATGGTCAGTGCGAACGGTTCAACAGAACCCTCCATAATCTACTGCTGTCACTAGAAGCAAAGACGAAGAACAAATGGCCAGAATACCTGAAGGAGTTGGTGTATTCTTACAACATAACCCCACATAGCTCCACGGGTTATTCACCGTTTTACATGATGTTTGGTCGAGAAGCATTACTACCACTATCTTTAGTGCTTGATTCAGAGAATGACGATGAAGATTCTGAAGGAAATAAAGCAGATAACTGGGTAACCAAACAAAAGCAGACGTTCAAAGAAGCTTATGCTCATGCAGAAGAAAATATGAATCAAAATGCTGATAGAAGGAAAAAAAGACATGACAAGAAACCAACAATCATTGAAGATAAAATAGATGTTGGAAGAAAAGTCTTAACAAGAAGGAGAACACTTGGAAGAAACAAGATACAAGACTATTATGAAGATTCGGTATACAAAGTGATTGAAAGGAAAGGAGACACATATACAATTGAGAATGAAGACTCACTGAGGAAAACTGTAAATAGAGAAGATTTAAAAGAATTGCCAGAAGGGATCAGAAACAAAAAGCTCCTTAATGAGGATACAGCTGCAGAAGTGCCTCAACTGAGAAGGTCTAAGAGACTTTTAGATCAACAGAAGTAGATTGAGATTTCACTCTGATTTCTGCGCGTTACAGTAGTTAAGATAGTAGCTACAATTTAAAACATTTTTCAAAATCATGACTGTAGTGGGATCTATAATTTTATAAACTATCTATTTTTTGGTCGTGGTTGTTAATTAGGGGAGGAAATACCAATCTAATAGCGTTTAGAGAATTATTCATCTTATTGACAGATATTTTGAATCATTTGATTATTTTAACTTATGTTTTTGATGTTTGTATTAAATTTTCTTATTCATTTAAGATATTGTACATTTATTATATCAGTTTACTGTAGCCGTGTTTAAGGTTCATTTTATTGAAATGAAGACGAGTCCGCGTGGATGTGACATGCACTTTTATAAATACTTTCAAATATTAAATATTGTTGGTACAACTGATTATTCCTACCCAATGTATACTACTTCTCAACACAGCACATACTGAGACTGTACTGATATGCCACCTTTAAAAAGGTTTAGTAACCACTGTATCACATGATCTAGGTCACATGATCATGTACTTTAGTGTTGGGCCTGCTTTTGAATCTTCTGGATGTGGTAAATATTTTTCCATACTTTGTCCAATTTCTAAACAAGTTATATTGTCTCAGTATATTATTCATATAGTTAGTTTTAAAGATTAATATATAATCTCTATGTTGAAATAGGTATTTTTTTATATACCGTTTGTAATTTTGAAGTTATTAGGAGTTTAAGGAAAGACTCCAAGATATTTTGCAAATTTCAACATCAGCCATATTGGATTTCATTCCTTTGTTTACATTTTCACTTAGGTTCAAATGTACATTTTTAGGTTAGTTCCTAGCTGACCTACTTTACCATATGCCCACACTCACAGCCCAAGTAGCTTTATTGTCAGGTAAAATTCCACTCTTGTTATTTGATTTATATTTGTAGTATGTGTAAGGTCAATACGACATTTTGTAAGGTCAACTTGACCCTATTGACCATATTGAACAAGTCATGCTTCATGTGTTTTGATGTTTATATAATGCTTCAGGCATTGTATGGGGAAATAAAGATTCATTCATATATTACTTAATCCCCATCACAAATATGGTTTTATCAACTAAAACATTAAACATTAATTAATCTGCATTTTAATGACATTTTACTTTATTGCTACATATCAACTTATGGTGTGAATTTTTATTTTTAGGCATTCCACCAACAGTACTGCACTGGCAGACTGGTCACTCTTTTGTAATGTTTTACATTTTATGAATTAAGGTAGTTCCACACTTTCATGGATTAAGGTAGTTCTACACTTTCATGGATTAAGGTAGTTGTCACTCTTTTGTAGGCTAATTTATATGTTAAGGTAGTTGTCACTCTTTTGTGATTTATCTTTTAAGGTAGTTGTACAACAACAGCAGTTGTGTTAAGGTAGTTGTGCAACATAGCAGTTGAACATTAAGGTAGTTGTGCAACATATACATGATCAATACATGATCAATAAGGAAGTTGACTGATATAATACATGATATAATATAAAATATTTTATAAATTTCTCTTGTTTATTTATTTTGGACAAAACGTCCCTCACATTAGTTTGACATTAATGTTGGCCAATTTTACAGGATTTACAGTACTGTGATCAGCCTCTTTAAAGTCTTTATCTATTTTCTCTTTAAGGACTTCAGATATCGTTGGCGATGAATCGTCAATATCTACTAGTTCAACAACATCACCATACTCTCCGAAAGTGTTATCAATATTACGTTTGAGCTCTTTGTAAAATTTTCTCGTTTCAATTCTCTTTTCCTTGTCATTAATGATCTGTTCCGGCAGCTCTGTCAACGTTTGAAGGATAGTAGCAAACTCAGCCAAGACATGATAATCCTGGAAAATAGTTTAATTTAAAAATTTGTAAAATTGGTTTTTAATGAGTACGGTATTATATTAAATATGAACTATTTCTGAGATATTTTAATTGATTTATCTGTTTAACTTTTTTTTCGTTTTTTTCGTTTTCAAGGATAATATAGTAAAAGCGTGATTAACACTATCCCTGTCATTTTTAAATTAACTATTCATAAACTACAGTGAGTGATACCCTACCTGGTCTCCAATCTTAAATTTCCACACTGTGTTTGTGAATGTCCTCGACGAACCTGCACGATTTGCTTTAAACTCGAAGAAATACGTTTTCTTCATTTTGGGGTCCTTTTCGCTCATCAAGTTTGGACACTTTCCAGAATCAGGAACTAGTATATACAGCTTTTTGGCCATTCTAATTTTTCTTCGTTTCAAATCTTTTTTATCAATATATTCTTGAATCGTGTCCTTCAATTCTGAAAAATACATTATCACAACAATCAGAGGTATCAACCAACAGAGAAAAACTTCGCAACACATCAAATTATTATCTTGATTATCAATTCAAACGTCCAATCTATTTTATGCTAGCCCATCGTTTTATATTTGTAATAGACGTGACTAATGACGATTGAATATCAAACTATTTCATATTCCTCTTCCTAACCAGGAATGAGACAATCATAATCTCGGGGTTATATTGCTTAATTATGTCAAAAGCTTAAAATATTGTTTGAGGTGTCGTGATCAAAAAATGTGTAGTAATCAGTTGTGAACCAAAAATACCGAATAATGAAAACAGTGTATTACAAATCGAATATCGTCAATATTCGTCATATCTGTGATTGTATGATTTTATTCATTGATGGAAAATATCAATTCTTATCAGGTGTATTTTCTAAACATCCCAAAAGTGTATACTTTATTCCAGTAAACTAAAGTTTTTTTTACAATAATTACCATTTACCAATTACCATAGTTACCATTTTACTATTTGGGACAATTTAAATATTTTTACCCCAATTTTTTTACTTTTGGAACTTCTTGCTCCATTAGGCCTAGTTTTAAAGTACTGTAGAACAATTAAGAAATCATGCAGAAAAAAAGTTATGCAACATTGTGTTTACAATAAAGCGTATGGAGGGACGTATTTATTTGACACCCTGTAGAAGCTTGAGCATCAATTACCGTTGATAGTGAAAGAGTGACTTACTTGAGCCTGGACATGTACCTCGTTGGATGACAATCTTCAGGTATGCATAGAAGAAGTTTGTGGCATATACTAGTCCAATTTTTTGTTGAACACCTGAAATCAGCACATCACTTTTGTATACTCTACTCTTTTATTGATCGATACAAAGTACGTCATTTGTTTGTTCACAATGATCGGTTGTATTCCTACATGTAGATCTTTAAGTGTTTTTAATAACTGTTTTGCCTACCCTTTAGGTAGTACTAATCACTGATAATATTGTCACATTTACATGGTTACTTAAATCGCGTTTCGTTATACTGCATACCGACATATTCAGAATACTTGCTCCTACTCTGTTTGTTTTTTACTTTTAAAGAGAAACTTGTTAATATTGATAGAGTATAGTTTTACTTTTTATGGTTTCAGTTATCTCCTGGTCGACTGGTCCCCTATCAGCTGTCCCGCTCTGATCTAGAAGCATAATAACACCAAGATATTATTTCAGAAAAGTACTGTAGTCCCGGGACTGTAGTTGGGTCTTTACGATAACTATTTTTTGATATTCTAGCAGGGTGTCTCAATTAAAATGTCACGAGTACAAAATGGTCAATGCCGTCCTGTTGTCACCATACATGCCGAAAATTCTGGAAATGGAATGCCGTCGGGGAAAGGCATGACATGTTCAACCACTGAGAAGTCATCCTCCTAAGCAGGTATTCAGAATCCGTACCTCCTTCTTCCCCCTGTTATAACTAATTTGAAAGCGCACGATTATTCTGAATCACGTGATCTAATTATGCACAATTATGGTGTTAAAACTGTATCAAAATTGGACATATTATATTTCTGTGATATCTCTAACACATAGAATAGCGTTTAGCAGAATACATACACAATCCGTGTGATTTCATACACGATTTGTTCGAGTTTGCACACTCTATGTTTGTAAAATCACACTTGTACATGCGTATTTGTGTATGCAGTGTTTAAAAATGACATCGAACAGGGTACACAAGTCGAACAAATGCCTATGCGGCTCGCAAAAACGTTTTTCCCTTCACAAACCATGATGTGCCGATCACACACCTTGATGTACCGATCACACATCTTGATGTAACATAAATTGCTTTCTAGAGATGTTCGAGATTTTCTTCTAAATCTCGCGTTACTTTTGCACTGAACGAAATAACACATCAGCGCGGCAAAAAGATAAAAAGATCTAGTTTGTAGTTTCTCAATAAATGGCCACGTGTTCGTCTCCCTAGCTAAGCTAAATTATATATTTTTAATTTGAAATTTACATTTTATAACATTTCAACGGAGGGCGCTGTATTGTAGAAACCAGGATGCAAATGCCACGTGATTTCAAATCTCGCACCCTGTGTGAAGTGCAACTTGTTTGTGACAGCCTATGCGAGCGGGAACCATCCTATGCGAGTTTGAACTCAATGCGTGTGTAAAATTGACACGTTCGTTCGAAATTTACTTTGATCCATGTGTAATTCTTTCAGTATCCTATGCCACTTATAACACAATCCGTGTGACATTTCAACATTGATTCTGGATTTTTGTGTGACACTTGATACAACCAGTGCGTGTGTGAATGAAAATAAGTTATGCAAGAAAATTAACTGTTGGTATAACATGGATTGAAAATGGCATACGATGATGCGAGTTTCGCATATAATGATGCGCATTTCGCATAGTGTGATGCGAGTTTCGAATCATATAGTTCGAGTATCGCATCATATAGTTCGATTTTTCCCATAGATCATGTAATGTCCAATTTTGATACAAAATAAATTCCATACACAATGACTTATACATGATATCTGTCGCAGTGTTGCGACAGCCAATCAGATTGCGAGTTCTTAATCAGGGAAATGCTTATTGCTTATCGCAGGGGGTAAAAAAGAATATATTCTGGATTTTGAAGCCCTGTAATAGGAGGATGCCGAGAAGTTGGCGCAAGTCAGATTTAATATGAGTTAATAATTTCCGTCCTGTGAAGTCAACCATGGTAGGATTTTGAATCTGCTGGTGTCAAATTAATCGAGAGAGCTTGCACTTCAAGAACACGAGTATATTTTAGGTTAAACACCAAAATTATGAAAAATATTAACATTTTTATACTAAGTAACATTTTATTGAGTCGCCATCTATTAAGAATTGTGTTGTTTGTTTTGACTTCAGCATCACTAACTCACTAACTACCATAAGGTTAATTTTTAACGAAATGATTTTTAAAAATAAGTTTTAAGATATCGCAGTAAACCTGTGCAGCTATCAGTTATAAAACACGATGTTGATTTATAAGTACATGAGAGATTCGACTTTACGACGAGAGTGCGGCGAACTCGTTCCCCGAAATCGAAAATACACCTAATTTTTGTAGAAATCGTAGGACTACGATAGCATTCGCGGATTCAACTGTCGGTTGTTGACTGATAAGTCGTGTTGGTAAAATAGCCCTTATCTGCTCATGTAAATCAAATGTACATTATGCTAAGTTTCCTACCTTATTTAACTTAATAGATTAGCACTACAAGAGTAAGTAACAGTGTTAAGACAAGTAAAAATGTTCAGTTTGATTTCTCAGATCCCTCGCATAATGTATTTAAATGTTGACTTTACCTTGATCTACTTCCTGAGGTAAGATTGAACCATGATCCAATAGAACTGGTAAGAGTCTATGACTGTTGCCTCTTCGAAACATTATGATTGCCTTCATTGAATCGACCCCATGCAAAATCACCACGGCTAGGGAGATAATTAGCATAGCAACAAGGATGGCAGTTTTCCCAGTGACCTTGAGAACATCACATGGTATACTTTCATTGTTCACTGAACAGACGAACTGACTAGGGATCTGGAACCCATATAAGGCAACCTGTGTAACACCGAAGCCGAACTCTATGATTGTTCTGAAGGCTGTCTGTGCGAGATATCCACGAGCAATGGTTTTCGTTTCTCCTTCTGACAGCTGTTCCGTATGGTTAACAGTCCACCAAGATGGAAAATAGAAGAAGAAAAACACAAGGCTAATTGTTGCACCTAATTGTGTGTACCAATTGGCATGTGGCGGCCATGTCGAGGTTGCAGCAAATGTATCATGGCATCTTTGTTTTATGCTTTCTGAATCCAAATCAAGAGTGACATTTGGGGTACAAACAAAGTTGTCCGTATTGAAAAGTTCTGTTTGAGATACTGCTGTTATAACGAATCTTGGTATCAGTAGAATGTTCAACAGAAATCCAAAGACTGTGAAGTACTTTGGTTCTAACTTCTCCGTAATTGTAGAGCACCCTTCCATAGCTTAGTTATCTGCTTATTCTGAAAACATACATGTCCATTATTTACAACACTATAACACGCCTTACCATCGACAACGTACAGTGACAAAACATTCCGTCGTACACTTTAGATGAACGGTGTCACTATTCTAACTGATATGAAGCAAAAGCGATGATGTGGGTGTTTTGTAGGTTTTAAAAATTTATCTGAGGAATACTTAAGGGATTTTATGTTAAATTTCGTGTGTATTCGATTTAGAAGACATTCACCTTTCTAATTCCGTGAAAGGATTTTCGGTCAGTGCTCGAGTTTTTTCGTAGTAAATCTACCCACCAACAATGATCGGTTGGAAAATGTTGGTTTTTTAAATTTCCTTTGGTCATTTTTTCCCCTTTCGCCTAAGAGTGTCGATAATTTTTATGAGAATATGTTTCCCAAAGTTACATAATTAAGGTCGGTTGAAGATGTAATAAATATTCACGTTTTTGCTAAAATAATAAAAACAAATCATAAGTGTACGTTGTCATCTCGATGTACGTTGTCCCATTGAACTTACATATCTGAATTCACGGGTTAACCCTTATGTAGACAACGCTTTGTCATTACACGAAGGGATATGGGGTCAGATTCATTTTAAACTGAAACGGAACAATCCAGTATTACTAATTCATCTTAATTGAACTATAGTGAACCTCTGCTCTTTCCAGAAATATCATGAACGGGATTTCGAAAGTCATCTTCGATTAACTAGTATAGATCTCTCCATGAACTCCTTAAGATTATTAAAATTCATAAAAGTGCAATATAACGTAACGTACTAGTACCGACGACGAATGGTAAAAGAGGTTGGAACATAGCGACCCATGGTCAAATATTTATCACCATATGACAATATGAACAATTTCATAAAATGAAATAGCATTCCACGAGAGGTAAAAATCACTTTTACATGTTTATCTGTACCAGGGTCACATGAACATGTTCGTTGAACATCAATTGTTACTCATAAAACCCTTAATGCGTTTTGAAATTAAATCGTTGTATTGTTTACAATTCAATTTCAGGGACAACGTTCATTGGAGATGACAACGTACATTTTTGATTTTTTAAATACCAAATACATGGATATTTATATAACCTTCAACCGTTTTAGATTGTGTAGTTTAGAGAAACATATTCTCATTAAAATATTCGTCACTCTTAGACGACAGGGGAGAAAATGATCAAAGGAAATGTGTAAAAAAACACATTTTCCAACCGACCAATTGCATGGTAGATTAACAACGAAAAAATCGAGCACTGCTCGAAATTTTTTAACGTAATTAGAAAGGTAAATGTCTTCCAAATCGAATACACACGAAATCAAACATGAAATCGTTTATTTACTCCTCAAATTAATTTTTGAAAACCACAATCAAACCTACATCATAGTTTTCGCTTCAAATCAGTTAATAGTGACACCGTACACCTAAAGTGTACGACGGTATATCCTGTCACTGTACGTTGTCGATGGTTAGGCGTGTATTAACTAAACTTCAATATATTCTACAATGTGTTTAAAATGGCCCGCAAAAAGTCAATTAATTTAACACAAACTAAAATTTGGGGACTACTTATTTGGCATGTGTGTCCTTGAAGCAATGTTTGATTGTGTCAAAAGATTTCAACTTGATCAGTTGGGTTTGTGAATGATTCTAATTTCATGACATGCTCTAGGTTCGTTCAAAAAATATTCTCAAACTATGAACGCTTCTTTTGGTACAAAATGTCCTATCATAGTGAATCTTATACAACAATCGTTTCATTCCAAAGAAAAACACTTGGAGTAAGTAACCCGATTAAATTATGTATACTTACCAAATAAGTGCGTGTATTTCATAAGAAACTATGATAGTCGAATCAATTCTTTGCAGATCGAAGATCAGACCGATTCTATAAGGATCAAGATTAGTAGTAAATATAACAGTTTACATCTGAGGGATAGTGTCTCATTAGCCGATGTCGGTGTCAAACATCCCGTATCTATATATATTCTCTCTGAAAGATAATTATTCCTTAGTTGTCCTCTAAAATTTGAATAAATTGCCTGATATTTTTGGATTTCTGGTCGATTCCGTTTGGTGATTACATGCTTTTTCACTTTAGATCTTTCGATCCGACGTTTCCACTTCAGAACTTGGACTTTGTTACATTTTTCTTATGCATTGTGAATTTTTTTCAAGAGCTTGTGTACATCTTATCTTGTAAAACAAGCGCCAAGCTTAGTTCTTCTAGGAGTTCAATATATAGTAGGGCAATATGACTTTTTATTTTGTGCAATGTGTAATGAAAGAGAGGCACAGACAGTAAAATAAATATGTATTCTTTTAGAAATAAAATATATTACAAAAAACACAATAAACGTTGAAAAAACAGTAAAAAGCTTTCGATATTTGGTTATTTGGTTAACTTGTACGTAAACTTGTACTTCTGTTTAAAAATACTATAAGTTATTGAATGATTTGAAGTGCAATACAGGATATATTCTGCTTGAGAAATTCCGTATTGGTCCGAGACGAAGTCGAGTGCCAATACTGAATATCGAGACGGTTGACACCCGGGTTTGGTCCGACTATTGTCGTGACAACGGACCACGTTATGAACGAGGATGATATTTCTTCATACTTCAATATAGCCACTATTACAAAAGGTAGCCACGATAAAATAAGAGAACCCGCCATAAAACACAGGAAAATGTCTTTCTTATTGATTTTTTGATACCATGGTTGTTTTTGTTTTTGTTTTCAATGTCAGAATTTTGTGTTTTCATAGCAGCGATATCCCTTAACTGTTTTCGCACAACTACTAATATTTTTTATATAAATTACCACTATTAATGCTCAAACTAACATCAACTCCCCAATCTTTAGTATTTCCAAACCAGATGGCAATAAAGCATAACATATCACAATATAGACCGTGTTTACAAACGGTACGAGAGACGCAATAACAGCTGCCAGTTTGATTCTTTTCAAACTCATCCATTTTTGATAAACGAATGGGTGCAAAATTGCTATATACACTGTGGCTAGTCGATCTATGTGGATGCAGTCATCCATTGAAATCTTGCATACATATTCAATATGCAAAGTAAGACAATGTGTGAAAGTTTCAGCTACCATATTCCTGTTATAGGTAAGATAAAACATTTCGTAAACTTCAACATATATGTATAAAATGGATGCCACTATGTATCATTTGGATTCAGAACGGTAACAAATGGATGCTATAATAAATTATACTTTTATCATGATGATTTATTTACTGATGGACAACTGGCCAGGTTTTCTTTGTATCCATTGTTTGGATAAACATTCCTCATTCAGTAAAGTAATTAGCCAAACCATTACAAGACACCCTCATGAAGAATTGAAAATACTATATATAAACCCATCAACTGGAAAATGCCATTACAGATGAAAAAACTATGGTTTTATCCCTAATACTGTTAATTTGAAAAACGGGTCCATAACATGTAATGATGACAAGGAAAATGTTGAAATTAGGTACGCCAATGAAGTGAATTCAGAGCCAAAGACCCATCAACCCACTGGAATACCCACAAATCAAGTTTCATAGCCTTGCCCAAGTCGGTCTCTTTTACTTATCTTGATTTCTATTATGACCGCCTTGTACCCAAAAGAAAGCCACGTGCTTAACCGACCCAATGTTTTTGTTGGTAAAATTTGACCAATCAACGACGGCCCTACATTGCCGGACTAGATCTTCGTGCATTTCCATCGCGAATTCAGTTTTGATTTTGAATCAACATGGAATTGCATGATTTCATTTATACGAGTAGTAATGACTGCTTACATTCCAATGTACATTTAATAACATAATATGTTGTAACTCTCAAGAAACACTCGATGAGATCAGATAACGTTTAGATTGATCAATCAGCCTGAAGTCACACGTCGTGTCCATGCGATCTTGTCAATCAATAAGGTTTCGCGATAACCTTAGATAGCGCAGGTTTTATGGGAATCTCGGAACCGCTGAATAACTTAGCATAATATCAGTGATGATGCATTGGATTGTACAAGGTGGTAATACTTCAAGATCAGATAAGTAAATAAATACCGAATTGGGCAAGGCTACAAGTTTCAGAGCCATTAACATTCCTTAAAAGTAACAATGAGCAGTCAACAGATGGGCCATCCGTAAATCTTGATGATTTTGTCAGCTCAGCTGAACGAGCCTACAGATTCCTTGAAACAAATGACCCAAATTCAAGAATAATATTATCTATTTACAATTTTTTGAAATCGTGGTAAGTGGAATCTTTCCGATTACCAATATAGCATTGTTTTTGGACACTGTGGATTAAAATACTAAAAATACACACATTCAAAATGGTTAAATTAAAACATAGCCAGTCTGTTCATTGAATCCATTTAGAACGTCTACTAATCCACATGATACATCAAAATTAAATTGCTTTTTAAAGCAAATATTTCATACCATAACCCCAGAAATATTATAAAACGCATTGTATTTGTATTTTACTTCACACAGACATATTTGTGTAAGTGAGGTAATTATATTACTTGAATTTTTTATTCCCCATTATAAGGTAAACCTATGGCATATTATACATACCTTCTCACAGCTATGAGAGAGATGATAAAACTGGTCGAGTGAACTCGTTTGAGTTATCTATTCTCCGTAAAAATATCAGAGAATGTGTGTTTATAGCATAGCTTTTGGTTTGTAAATCAATGAAGTATCATATACACGGTAAGTAAATATAGATTATTTAAACAGAAGTGCAAATATCTTCCATTGAAAAGTACAGAGGCGAGCACCCACGATACATTGCATATAAATGACTGCATCCACATAGATCGACTAGCCACAGTGATATATCTTTCAATTGCTATCAAGAGAACCATATTACTAGATACATGCAATGTAATATAAATTACACTGTGTGTGAGTTGACAATATTTCATGTTGAAAACATTTGCGTACATATATAGAGGCATACCAATACATCCTGTTAAAAAGTCAATGATTGTTAATATTCCAATTAAAAAATGAGTAAGTGTAAGTAGTAGTCTCTTTTTTCCTACCGCTGTAACTATCAATCCATTGCCGGAAACTATTTGTACTGTAACTGAACTGTAACCACTGTGATTGTTATATTGTTAGCACGACTCAGTCGAGATTCAGTGTCCGTTGTTGCATCCATTGTCCGTTATTACATTCATTGACCGTTGTTGCATTCATTGTCCGTTGTTGCATTCATTGTCCGTTTTTGCATTCATTGTCCGTTGCTGCATTCATTGTCCGTTGTTGCATTCATTGTCCGTTATTGCATTCAGTGTCCGTTGTTGCATTCATTGTCCGTTCTTGCATTCATTGTCCGTTGTTGCATTCATTGTCTGTCGTTGCATTCATTTTCCGTTATTGCATTCGTTGTCCATTATTGCATTCATTCTCAGTTGTTGCATTCATTGTCCGTTGTTGCATTCGTTGTCCGTTATTGCATTTATTGTCCGTTGTTGCATTCAGTGTCCGTTGTTGCATTCATTGTCCGTTGTTGCATTCATTGTCCGTTGTTGCATTCATTGCCCGTTATTGCATTCGTTGTCCATTATTGCATTCGTTGTCCGTTGTTGCATTCATTGTCTGTCGTTGCATTCATTGTCCGTTATTGCATTCGTTGTCCATTATTGCATTCATTCTCAGTTGTTGCATTCATTATCCGTTGTTGCATTCGTTGTCCGTTATTGCATTCGTTGTCCGTTGTTGCATTTATTGTCTGTCGTTGCATTCATTGTCCGTTGTTGCATTCATTGTCCGTTGTTGCATTCATTGTCCGTTGTTGCATTCAGTGTCCGTTGTTGCATTCATTGTCCGTTGTTGCATTCATTGTCCGTTGTTGCATTCATTGCCCGTTATTGCATTCGTTGTCCATTATTGCATTCGTTGTCCGTTGTTGCATTCATTGTCTGTCGTTGCATTCATTGTCCGTTATTGCATTCGTTGTCCATTATTGCATTCATTCTCAGTTGTTGCATTCATTATCCGTTGTTGCATTCGTTGTCCGTTATTGCATTCATTGTCCGTTGTTGCATTCATTGTCCGTCGTTCCATTCATTGTCCGTTGTTGCATTCATTGTTCACTCTCTGATATGTGTTGTTAAATATATGTTTGTCTGTCTTGTCCACTCAGATGTCGTTTTCTGAAGATTCCAAGACTGTAATTAGTTCCACACCAATAGGCATTCTGTCTGCCCTTTAAGATTAAAGCCCGTCATAAATAAAACATATTTCCCACAATTACGCCCAAAAAAAGCTGCACCATGGGATGGATTGGCATCACGTGACCGTTGTTTTGATGCTACACGAAGAGACTGCATGTTTCATACGATTTGGACAAAAATCGTTAATTTTCCATTCTCGCAAAGCTGAAGCTTGAACCACTTACGGGTGGTATTCTAATGTTTGAAGCGCAGCTTTTACCATCACAACTCGTAAAAGTCTTGAGATGTTGTTTTATTTATTTTTTTAAGTATGCCTTCTTTCTTCATCGATGCACTTTCATCCGATTATATAATAAATTATGAAATATGATAAAACCTGCACATTACTTGATTATTATCAATATTTTGTGATTTACTTTATCATACAAAACTAATGAAAGGACTTTGGTATCTAAATGTTCAATGAAAATAATTCTGAATTATTAATGAGAAAAATGAGAAATTGCTGTGCTATAGAATCTATGTAGAATGCTATAGAATCTACTCAAATAAATTAAATTGAAATGAAATATTTATCTCGATATTGTTATGCTTCTGAGCTTACTTGCTTACTTAGAGCGCATCTATGTCATATTGCGTTTTTATGCACCTAAAAGATACAATATTTAAGGAATAGCTATAATTAAGATATTCTATAAATGCATATTTTTAGACATGAGTCAGCAGTCGTTTTTTATTTTTCGGTACATTGACATATCATGTAAGCATCGTGTCAAGCTCAGAGGCCTTGGCTATGAAATACAGAATAATATTGTTCGTCTAGCCTAATGCTCTTGTCAATTCTATGCCAGAATGTATTTAGTCAAGTAGAGGAGGGGGGATCACAGAGGCTTGGACGTAGCTAGACTAATGTTCATCTTTCTGAGCACCTTTCTTATAACGAAACGCCTTGTAGTAAAAACATAATTTTCATCAATAAAGTATCGATAATTATTTTATAAAAGTTTACTTCACATGTACAGGGTGTTAAAAAACGCAACACAAAGAAATTGCCATATCTTGAAAAATACTAATTCAATTATGATCATTTTTTCAAAAAAGAAAGAAAAGACTGTGTATGTATAGCTATTGTAGATGGTTAATTGTAAAACATGATGCCTTGGACACCTTCTCAAAAGAAAGTTGTACTAGGAAAATATGAAAAACATAGTCAGGGATGACTGCAACCCCCCAAAAAACTAAATAACTTCCCAACCATAGTGTTTTGGTTCTTCAAATTTGGCACAAATCATCTTCATTTGCTGTATGGTAAATGTGTAGAGTGATATCAAAATTACTTCAGGGACTTTACAGTCATGGTTGAAATGCTTTCAAATCGCAGTCAAACACCCTGGTCCAGGCAGACTTAAGAAGGCATTTTGACCATGACTGTGAAGTCTCTTGAGTGATTTTAATGAAACTCCACACATTAACCTAACATTGAACAATATGATTAGAAAGTTATTTGGTTTTATTGCCATGACAGTCACCTCTGACTACGTTTTTCGTATTTTCCTTGTCTTTTGAGCAGGTGTCCGAGGCATCATGTTTCACAACTTACTAACAACAGGAGCTATACACGCACAGTCTCTTCTTTCTTTTCCTTAAAAATGATCATAATTGAATTATATATATAGTACTTTCCAAGATATAGTGATTTTCCATCCGCGTTTTTCGTATTTTCCTAGTACAACTGTCTTTTGAGCAAGTGTCCAGGACATCCTGTTTTACAACTAATTAACAACAGGAGCTATACATACATACATAGTCTCTTCTTTCTTTCCTGAAAATATGAACACAATTACATTTAGTATTTTCGAAGATATAACGATTTCTTTGGGTTTCGTTTTTTGAACACCCTGTACGGTAAATAACATTAAATGCACTTATATTATAGTAGTCCATAGTATGACTTCCGAATATGAAGGATCCGTAGCACACTATAGCGCAGCAACATTCGAAGCAATATTTATGAAGGTGTATATGTCTTGATTCTTTTAAAATACCATTTGCTGAAAAAACTTCCGGCTTTCGGGTCGAAAAATGTATTTCATCACAAGGGGTCAAAAAACGTAAATATTTTGATTCGAACTTTTATACATTTTATAAGACACAGACTGTTATTCTAAGTATTCGAACAAAAAAATTGAATATCACTATGTCAAAATTACTATGATTTTACTGTAGATGTCGGTGTTTAATTAGTGTAATTACACAAGTGTGTGTTTTCAGATTTTTCAAATATGAGCTAAGCCGATTCAACAAAATTGTATGGAATATTTAGGTAATTTTTTTTGATTGGGAACGTAATAGTTTTCTTACCAGTTAAAACATTTTATTACCAGAATTTTTCCATATAATCGTAAAGGGTCTAACAACAAATTATTGTTGATGTTTTATAAAACATAATACAATGACAAATAGGTAAGATTCATATCTAATTCGATGTTACAGAGGTATTTGCATGTTCATATATTCCAAGGGCATGTCTAATAATCAATTAGAGTCATATGCAGTCGAACGCCTTAAAATTCTTCCTCGACGTTAGTTGTGGCTATCATCAAGTTTTCTGATGGTTATTTCTTCTTTGACCTTACCGAAGGATATAATCAAATTTTAGGAAGATAATGATAACGATTTTTCTCAATTATTCATGAATTCGACCAAGTCTTGATGGTTGTTTCATAGGCAACTGAGCTATATCTAACTACGAGAAATAGAATTTTAGCTGTAGTCGCAATTAGTCAAGGAAGAGCAATATGCCCACCTTTATTGATAATGTTCACCGCTGAATAAAAGTTCATATCTTAAAACGTATTAAGACCCATTTTGTGAAAACCTAGCATAATTTAAGCATTTGTTATTCTAATATAAAAAATATTCATTTGTAGCATTTATCTCATTAATACCTGAGAAACAATACAAAATGTCGATACACTGATGACATAATCTTTTGGTATTGATAAGAAAAATAACCTCAAACTTTTAGCTTAGAAACCTAAATCATATACTTAAAATCATATTTTATTATTTGCTATTGCATTGTGTACTCCAAATTGTGAAAGTTTGGAAGTTTACTTTTTGGAAAATTTTTGACCTCTGTTAATGGCAGGCATAATTCAGCCTTAAAGCCGGAAGTATATTAAACGGTTATAATAAAAATTATTAGGGGACATATGTAGGTATGCTAATGTTAGGTCAAATATCGCTGCGCTATAGTGTGCTACCAGCTCCTTTATTAGACGTCCTAGAGATTTCATACCATGGACTATAGGGTTCAATTCTGATATATCTGATAACATACAGTGGCGTATTGTAAACCCGTAAGAAAAATATCACCATTGCCTTGATATAAATCAGAAAATAGATCGGAAAAGAGAGCATTCTATTTATATATCCAGAACTCTAAATATTGTACCTAACTGCAAAAATTGGGTCATTTATTCAGAATTCAGTGCACAACTGAGTAAAACGTTAACATGTATGAACAAAGAAAGTTATTCTTAATTTTAAGTACAAGTGTAAATGTAAACACGGTTGTCATAAAGAGACTCATAGACACATTGTTAACAATATTTTGAAAGTGGGTCACAAAAGAACTAAATATTTATTAAGCTATAGAGAAGTAGGAATCCACAAAAGACTTTAGGATGCTGTACAGAAAATGGCATCCACTAAGAAAAATGTTGGACTATCCATCGAAAATGCTGCTAATGCTATAAATCAAGCATCTGCGATGATTATAACAGCCGGCGCTGGTATGGGAGTTGATTCAGGTCTTCCAGACTTCAGAGGTGACAGAGGATTTTGGGAAGCCAGGAATAAATCTTCAAGATATGGCAAATCCAAATCCAAAGTGGTTTGAAAGTGATCATAAGTTTGCATGGGGGTTCTATGGTCACCGCTATAAATTATATAAGAACACGACTCCTCATGAGGGATTCGGAATTTTGTTGAAATGGGCGAAATCGATGGAGAATGGTTACCATGTATACACAAGTAACGTTGATGGACATTTTCAAAAGGCAGGATTCCCAAAGGACAGGGTAGATGAATGCCATGGTAGCATACATTATCTCCAATGTGCTGATGTTAATATATCTGATGCAATATGGCCCGTGCCCGATAATTTTGACATCGATGTCGAAGAGTCCACCCTTAGGGCCCCAAGTCCTCTCCCTCTTGGCCCTCCGAGCAATCCTACCCACCTTGCAAGACCGAACATCAAAATGTTTCATGATGTGACTTGGATTGACACACGTACATCCGCCCAGGAAGTTAAATTCAAAGCTTTTGAAGAAAAGCTCATCGATGGTGGTACTACATTTATCGTGATTGAAATAGGAAGTGGACTAGCTGTGCCCAGAGTCAGGGAAAGAGGAGAAGCTATTATTAAAAGGTCAGAGGGTAAGGGAACTCTCATTCGTATTAACCCTGCGGAATCCACTGTCCCCCATGGACAACATATAGGACTACCTCTTGGTGCCCTTGAAGCTATTACAAGCATTGACAAAATTCTGAAATCAACTTGAGAGCGAGGAAAAGCAATAGTAGACAAAATAGATGTCGTTGTATTTCTTGTACACAATTATCCTTCTCATACTGGGACAACATAGACGTCTTTCGTGTTCCCTCACAGCTGATTGCTTGATTAATATTCTGAATTCGAAATTTGCGCACATCAGAATTGTTTTTTTAATTAGGCAATAAGAAGTAGATTCTTTGTTTTGCATCCTGGCAAAATCCAAATCATCGTTCTTGGTATCATATGTTCGAAATGAAATGAAACAACAATCAGAACCTCATTGGAACAAAACGACATAAACACAACGTTTTTAGGTCTCTCAATATTGTAATTGTACAAAGGAAAGTTTGGTTGATTTTCAAAAAGGATCGTGTAAATGAAATAAAAGGTTTATCTTAATTTCTATCTATTTTTTTTGGGGGGGGGGTTGTTTTAAGTTTTTGTATACTTTTTGTTAAATCAACCCAAATTTCCTTTGTAAAACTATAATATTGAGAGGTCTTTGAAAATGTTAAGTTGTATATGCTATTTTGTTCCAACAAGGTTAGGAAAGACAATCAGTCAACATTACATAGGACCGTGTTTTTCTACAGAATGTTTACAATACTTGGTTTAAGAGAAAAACATTGAATTCAGTTCACCTTATCGATACCTGTCCTTTGTTTGCTGAGAAACATTTTATGGGCATAAAAAGGAATGGCATACCAATTTGCAGTGACTATAAACACATAGGTATACATTTTAGACAATATATTTAAACATAGCTATTATTCAAGGGTCAAAAATAAGAAAATACACAATGTATGCCAAAGTAATCAATAACACTGTCAATTTTGACGCACATCAACTTTTCCGCCATTTCGTCTGATTCTGATTGAACGACATACGATGGTACTTTCAGACCCTTGTGATTGCTATTTTGATGTGTTCGTTTTTTCTGATTTACTCAAAATCGTGCAAGCAAGGGAACGCAAAACAAAGAATCTACTTCTTATGCCCTTATGCACATAACACTGTACATGGAATGTTATTTGTATCACAGTTTCACTTTGGCAGACTTTTCATCAAAATGAAGTAATATTATTGGTTTTGTCAACCCCTGTAACCATCTGCTGTGTCACTCTCTGGAACTAAAGGACTTTATGATTTTTCCAAACTAAGAATACCACTTGTAAAACATGCTTAGAGCAAATGTCTTTCAAATTGAACAAAGCATGTCTTTAACAAAATGGGAAACCTAGTAAAACTTCGTGTTAAAGACCCTGTAATCAAGACTCTCGCGTGTTATTTACAAAAAGTGGTACATTATTGCGATTTTTTCATAAGCATACTGTTTATGTTTTTTATGTGTTAAAACTTTGACACAAACGCCATCTTTCATTTTGTGCACTAATTTATTTCATCATCTGATGATGCAGTTATAGAATATCTATATAGAATAGAATATACCTTTCTTACAAAGTCATATAGAGGATCTAAATGATCATATCATTGTAATTAGAGAAATGTTAAGTTGGTGATATGTTATATAATATCTGATAAATGAAGTTTAATACATACCTGACAGACTGTAGTTTTTTTAGTTGGGTGAAGAGGAGGGAAAGCCCCAGAGTTTAAAGATGACAGACATAGTTACCTCTCTTGCGTACCACCTTCGTTCGTTCGAATTTTCATCGGCTTGTTATCAAATACTACACCACGATGTCATCTCAATACAGATTTACATTATAAGCGTATGTCATCTTTGAACCCTGGTGTTTCTCCCCCTCTGAGTTGGGTGGTAGAATACACTGATTACATGATCAAAATAAATCATTATTGTCTCGTCACCTGTCAAATCATTTCTGATACAAATTGGTTCCATCAAGTGATGATTGAAAACTTTCAGCTCATGAATTCAGATGGTCAAACCATTTATTTACATTTGCAGAAAGCTGAAAGTATACTGTAATACAGTTAACAACATTGTACACTTACTTATAAATATATATTTTATCGATCAATTCCAATGCTTTTCTCACCGAAAATGAAGTTTCTTCTATTATATCTTGTTTAAAAGGTTGACTGTATACTAAGATGAGTTCATGCCAAGTATCACTCCTAACCATTAACCGTGTCTAAAAGAGATAACGTTTAACCCACTTATAAACAAACTTTTTTAAGTGACGGTTCCTTATAAATGGATAGAGCTGCGCATCAAATGATGACGTAGTACATACACTTTATACGTTATTAACATAAGGGATTTAAAAACTGTGTATAAGCGCGGCTGCTAAAATTCTCTGTTATCGAGATAATATAAGTTAAAGTGTTAACACAGGGTGTACCAAAAATGCACCTAACGATTCATTTATTTTTAAACCTATTGAGTTTGAGATTATAAGAATATAAATATTAGCATAAATGAACGAAGCTATCGTGAAGATGCAATAAAACTTTATTATTTCGACAATAATTATTTCTTAATTATGTAAGCAATTTTTTCACAAACATACTAAAATACATGATGAATTGCCATAATGCAATACAACGTTCATCACATTATCTCACAAGCTATAAGCTTATAAATTAGCATTCACATGAAAAATTTCATTGACAATTACATATGTTTATACAACAAATAAAAAATAGAAAACATAAACGTCCGTGAAAATCACTTTAAGATGTTTCTTCGGGTATTGAATAATATTTTTTTCTTCTAATCCTAATATATTCGGTCTACAATTTGTCAAACAATATATTGACGTATTACTTAAGCTTAGGCTTTTGCATGATTTTCTTTTTTAGTCATTATACAGGGTGTCCAAAAAAAACAGGACCGTAAGAAAGTTGAATAACTCGGTCAATTTTGCATATTTTGCCTTGACATTTCAGAATTATTTAGTTCATTCAATGTGAATTTTGTTGTGAAAGTTTGATAATAATCTACCAATTGAGTCAAAAACTACAGCTCCTTACAAAACATGCCCCAAATGTGCAAATCTCATCTCTATGCACAATTCAATCCGGCAAACAAAGCTGTTGATGATCCTCCTACACACATGTCTTTCTGAATGGACAAGTTTGTTCCAAGAACAATTGCTACTAGGGCTTACATCCTCCTGATGAAGTGTTACAGCATCCATTGCATTCTGAACAATGCACTCGCTGGGTGGCAATGAGGAAACATGGAATCATCAGTCCCTTTTGGGTCGAAGGTGACTTGGGACTTGCTATCAGCATGAACAAGGACCAGTAAGTTCTCACCAAGTTTTGGAGGTCACTAAGCACCAGAAGGGACATCTAAGGAGATAATTAAACAGTGGTTTCAACAAACCAATAACACCTCAACACTGCAAATGATATGCTGAAATGGTTTAGGCAATGCGTTGGTGGACAGCTCATCAGTTGCAGAACCCAAACCATATGGGCAGCTCATTTGCCTGATCTAAATCCCCCAAATTTTTATCTTTGAGGATTTCTCAAAGCCAATGTGTATACTGACAGGCCCCTAACAACCTTAAGAGGCCAATAACTACCCCAATATTTACCATCCACATTAATGTGTATAGGTTAGGGTCATTAACAACTTTGTTCGCAGGATTCGTTTGTGCATAGAGAGGAAAAGTGCCCACTTTGGGCATGTTTTGTAAAGGACTGTAGTTTTTGACAAAATAAACAGATTATCATCAAACTTTCAGAACAAAATTCTCATTGAATGAACTAAATAATTCTTAAATTTCAAGGCAAAATATGCAAAATTGACCGAGTTATTCAACTTTCTTACGGTCCTGTTTTTTTTTGGACACCCTGGTTATACACACAGCAGACATTTTTACAATCGGGTTAGTTTGACAAGTTGAAACCAAAGAATTGTCCTGAATGAGTTTCCCGAGTTCATGATTATAGAACATATGCCCGTTGTCACATTTGTTCCGGTCAAGCCCGATGAGTATTTTGTTTAAAATTGAAAGCAATTTTAAACAAAGAGCTCATCAGCAAGCATTGGCCGGGCGCCGGTCCTGAATATCGGAGCACTTACCAAACATATGCCGTGACTACGGCATATGCTTGGTAAGACAAGTTCATCTATAACAGTCAGACTATTTTATGCTGTGTATGTCTCTTAAGCTAAACGTACACCAATGAGACATGATGGGACATCAATGGAGCTAGCTATAGAGTAAAATATTTTCATTAGACATTAACAGACAAGCTCAGACATTCCCATTGGGCATTCATGGGACATTTAGAGACACTGTCAGTCGTTGTCCCTTATGTCCCACTTTGTCCGCGCGACATTGTCCGTCATTGTCCGATTTTGTCTCTTTGTGTCTCTTTATGTCCCATGAAAAGAATAAACATGTTAATTCTTTTCAAGGGACATTACCGGACAAATGAAGGTCATTTTATAACGTGACGATTATATGACTATTTTCTGACAAAGTGCCGCTGTACAAACAGACAAAATGGCACAACGATATTGCCTGATGATGTCCAGGGGACAACAGTGGACAGGTTGCGACAAAACGGACAAAGGGACACTCGGACAATGTCCCATTGGTGTACGGCTAGCTTTAGCAAACCGGTTTTTGAGCATGAAATGTCATGTATAGTTATAGTACGAGTCAAGGACTATTCATAAGCTCCAGTAGTTGCTTGAGTTTTACGATAGTATTTTTCTCTATTTTTTCCTTCGTGCAAATTTCAATTGCCCTCGTTGCATAGCTTATTGCTTTTTTCCAATCATCTTTTTTATTACGTTTGTATAAGGCTTCTGTGATACCTTCAAGAGCTCTAATTCTGTTGCTTCCTCCCCGGACAAGTTCATTCTCTAATTTCAGAGCTTTCTCGTAATTGGTTATTGCTTTATCCAAATACTTTTTATGAATTCCACTAACTTTCATGTCAAGGTCACCGCATTTAATGAAAGCCTCTATCCTGTTATGTTTGTCACTTTCTTTTATATTTTTGAGTAGCGCTTTGGCTTCCTTACAACCTTCGTCATATTTCTTCAATTTCGTTTTTGAGTCATCTTCACATTTGACGGCGGAAATGTAACAAGTTACTAATTGTTTACGGCATGTTGTCTTG